CACTGTGTTGGAGGCAGACATGGAGACAGACTGTCAGTATGAGGGAGGAACGGGTGTGGTGGAAGGAACTGCTCACTGATTTTACTGAGTTAAAACCGCCACCTACTGTTGAAACATGTGTATTGTCCATTCTGCTGCAGCACAACATACAACTGTTAATATTCAGAGTTTCTAACGTACATAAAGGCCCAACATTAGTAGTAATGTACCTTGTACAAATGTGAAAAATCAGGCTCAAATGTTTCTGTACAACCGGTATTCCACAGGTAAACACTGACTGAGTAAATGTTAGGATTAATGCCAACCTTTTAAAAAAAACATGAGAATATCAAAATTCTCTGAACAAATGCAATTATTAACTTCACAGTCATCAGCCTGAAGCTTAAAACTGTTTGTGTTAACGTGAAAAGTGTCTTCATTTGGTTTGCTTGCTCTGTAATTTGATATTTTAAAGTCTAAATCAGGAAAAGGTTCTAACTTTACATTGCTTTTTTAAACGCAGGGATACTACTTAGTTTAAATCGCCACCTGTTGTCTAAAAAAATGTGTATTGTCCTTATTACTGCAGTACAAAATATTCCTATCAATATCTAGATTGCTTCTCTACAACCAGTATTGCTATGGTTAATATTAACATAGTAAATAATAGAATAGTGATTTACAAAATATCTAAATACACTAAACAAAGGCAACAGCTTTTAAAAAGCCATTAAATATCACAGTAATGCATATTTTGTTACCGACCAGAAACCTACAGCAAAAATATGCGTCTCAAAACAGTTTTAAAAATATGATATTTATAGTGAAGAGCTTAAAACCTTTTGTGTAAGTAAGTGACTCTTTAATTTGATATTTTATGGTCCAACATTATTGCTAATATTTAGGTAAAGACAGTTGTTCATATTTGTTGTGTGAAATTTGTTGAATATGGTCATTCGGAGTGAAATGATGGCATCATATACACAGAAAATCAATAAAAGTCAAACAAAACCCAGGTCTTTCCAAGACATGTAAGCTGTGTCATTGAATTAGATGGAAAAATAATATTTTACATCATTGGAGCCTCATGAATGTGATTTATTTAAAACTCTAATCTATGTAGAAGCAAGGCTTGGTGTTAGAGGAGGACTGTTGCTTAACAATTAAAGCTATCAGAAAGGAGTAAAAAAAAAAATCTAATTTAAGAAGTTATAATCCAAAAATTTTGACTTATTTTTCTTTGGAAAATTGTTCACTCATTAATCCATCCATTATCTATACACCGCTTAATCCTCACTAGGGTTGCGGGGGGCTGGAGTCTATCCCAGCTGACTCAGGGTGAAGGCAGGTTCACCTGGACAGGTCACCAGTCTATCACAGGGCTACACTTAGAGACAGACAACCAAGCACACTCACATTCACACCTACGGACAATTTAGAATCACCAATTAACCTCAACATCTTTTTGGACCTTGTGGGAAGAACCCGGAGAGAACCCACGCTGCACAGGGAGAACATGCAAACTCCACCGGGACATGAACCGGCGACCTTCTTGCTGCGAGGCAACAGTGCTAACCAACGGCGCCACCCTGCAGCTCATTAATCCATGATAAAAACAATAGTTGATGCTTAATTTAACTGCTAAAAACTGGCTAATAATCCGATTAATCACTGCAGCTCGACCCCAAATTCAGTTGTGTTTTACTGAAATGCTGTTTTTTCACTGGGAAAAATCACAATTTCACTTAAAAAACAATCGCTTCCCTATTCCTTGCTATGTTTGAATTATTTAAACCACATCTGGCTCCGTAGATGGGCAAAGGTTCCTTCAAGTACGCCTGGGTGCTGGACAAACTGAAGGCCGAGCGTGAGCGTGGTATCACCATCGATATCGCTCTGTGGAAGTTCGAGACCAGCAAGTACTACGTGACCATCATTGATGCCCCCGGACACAGGGACTTCATCAAGAACATGATCACTGGAACCTCTCAGGTAAAGTTTTTGTCTGCTCTCTGCTATGTCATCATTTTATACTCAATGTTTGGAAAACACGTGTTCTACGAAATTCTCTGTGCTCAGGCTGACTGCGCTGTGCTGATCGTCGCTGCTGGTGTTGGTGAGTTTGAGGCTGGTATCTCCAAGAACGGTCAGACCCGTGAGCACGCCCTGCTGGCCTACACTCTGGGTGTGAAGCAGCTTATCGTTGGAGTCAACAAGATGGATTCCACTGAGCCCCCTTACAGCCAGAAGCGCTTTGAGGAAATCACCAAGGAAGTGAGCACCTACATCAAGAAGATCGGCTACAACCCCGCCACTGTTGCCTTCGTCCCCATCTCTGGATGGCATGGAGACAACATGCTGGAGGCCAGTGACAAGGTGAGTTACTCAGACACACCTCAGTATAGAGGCCTCCGATTAAATCCTGCAAATCACCCATCTGCAGCATTTACTTAAAGTTTTCTGATTTCTGATATTTTTCTTGTATTATCACGTCAAACAGTCATTTCTTTCTCTAACTTTCCTCTCGGCTCTTCTTTCTTTCTCTCTCTCTGTCTGCCTTCTCTGTTTCAGATGAGCTGGTTCAAGGGCTGGAAGATTGAGCGTAAGGAGGGCGGAGCCACAGGAGTCACACTGCTGGAGGCCCTGGACTCCATCATGCCCCCATCCCGCCCCACCGACAAGCCCCTGCGTCTGCCCCTGCAGGACGTCTACAAAATCGGCGGTAAGTGGAGTCACATTGTATCCTGTGAACCCAGTAAGTCATCATCATCTCAGGAAACTGTGGAAACTGGAACCACTGTCATCCTGTCGAACCAATACAAAACACACCTTTATGTAAATTTCTTGAGGAGAATTCTCCCTAATAGGATCTAATACACCTGAAGTGAGGATCCTTCTTAATGTGTCTCCTATCATTTTTAAATTAAATCTACATCCATGCATGCAAGGACAAAAAATATTACGCAAGTTTTGTTACAGTTGTTATAGCTTGCTCTCCTGAGTAATTCACCGCCACAGGCTGCATTATGATCAGTCAGAACATGTCTGGAGGTAGAGTGGAGCAGATTCAACAGTCTGGCTACACCCACCAAAATACACAGATGATACAGAGAACTGATTCGTTTTTTTGGTTTATGCTCTGTTAGAATCACTATGGGTTTCTCCGACTGTACGAAGCTTCCAGCAACATGTCAATGTGTTAAAATGGGTTTATTTAATCAAATCCAAACCAACTTTTTCATGATGAGAGTTGCAAAATCGAACCAAACAAGTTCAGTCTTGTGTCCACAGAAGCATTAAACCTCTGAATCTTAAGCAGTTTCTTGGGCATTTTCTGCCCAGAATAGATAATCAAAATCAGATTACAATGATTTTACCTATACCTGAAGACAGAAAACCAAGAACAGATTACAATAATCTTACCTGCCTGAAGACAGAAATCCAGTCTGAGAGGAGCTGTGGAGTTGCGGTGGAGTTTTCATGATCTGTGATGAGTCATTTTCTGACAGAGCTGCCATAACCATCTGAACCCAGAACAGGTTCTGGGCGTTTTCTTTGCTTCTGTCACATTTTTCCTCACTGTTGGCTCCTTTTTCACTGCAATACAAAGTCGTGCACCTCTAAGGAAACAGCACAACCATGAAGAAGGAGCGAGAACAGCCCCAGAAAATGTCTTCTGTGCAGGATGACACAGTTATAATGCCATAAATCATAAAAAAGTAAAAGTTGAATTTCTTTTAATTACTTTTTTAACAAAAAAAAAAAAAAGAGATGGAATCAACATGTACAACAATGTTCCAAGTGCCCACAGGTGTTACCTATGTTGGAAAAAATGGTGGCTCTACATACTGCAGATCTTTTTGATTTGTTTCCATGCTTGTCTCCTTTCTGCTCAGTCCCTGAATTTTTCTCACGCGACTGTTGGTTGCAGTTGAGTCACTGATGGCTTTGTGGTTGCGTCAAGGAGTACAGAATGTTCTGTGTTTTACAGAATCTGATTAGTAAAATCTGTTAATTTTTTTGTCAAGACTTTGATTAGATATCACAGTTTTTTTTAAAATTATATTTATCTTTCTCTGTTTTTTTTTTTTACAATTTCTGTCTGATAACCGGTGTCATTTTGGCAATATGACAAGACTTTTTGCCTCCTGCTCTCTCAGGTATTGGAACTGTCCCCGTCGGTCGTGTTGAGACCGGTGTTCTGAAGCCCGGCATGGTCGTCACCTTCGCTCCCCCCAACCTGACCACT